AGGAGCTAAAAAAGCAGGAGAGAGGGCTGCATGACTTTAAACTCCTCCGGGGACTTCCTTCTCCTGATCCAACCCCAGTTCCGAAGTCTCTGAGTCAGGGCAGGTAGAAAGAAGGCAGGGGGTAGAAATGGAGTGATACGTCTCTCCAGGGGCCAGAGATGGGGCCGGCAGGCAGTGATGGTGGCTGGCTGTCCTCATGACTAGAGGTGGCCCTCTGGTCTTACCTGGGGAGTGGTCTTCCCAGGAAAGTTGCAAGAGGCTAGACTCACTCAGCTGCTGATCAGTCCTGACGCTAGATGAAAGAAGCATCTTGGGAGGTGGCTGCCTTTCTGCATGAGCTGGGTGCAGATGGAGGCATGTGGGGGTCAGCTTTGCCCATGAATGCAAGTGTTTTCCTGGTCTTTGTAGGAGGCCTCAGGGCAAGTCCCCTAATGTGAGAACCTACAGGGTTAGTTATAGTAGTTTGCACATGTAAACAAAAATAATAGTTAAAATTGATGCATTACAGAAAGTTTTCATTGAATAAAGTCTTTATAGAAAATCAAGAAAAAACAAACAAACAAACAAACAAAAAACCCAGACAAAATGAAGGCCCTCTGGTGGAAGCTGGGGTGTCCCGAGTTTCTTCTAGTGGACACAGCCCTGGCCTAGGGTTGGGTTCTTGGTCACTTCCACTCTAAGCAGCCATGTGACATTGGGAGGTGGACATGCCTTTTGGAGCCCTGATTTCTTCATCTACAAGAAATGAGAGCCATAATGACTCCAGTCACACAGTGATGCTCTGGCAGGGAAGGAGGGAGGGAGAGAGGGAGCCAGTGGGAGAAGGGTTTTAGTGAGCACTTGAAGACTAGGATTCGTCAGGGAGGAGTGGTTCCCGGATGGCCAGCCATGCCACTGGGACAGCTTTCCCCAGTGATCCCAGTGACTTTAGTTCCCATTTCCATCTGGAAACGCCCATGCTGTCCTCTGCGGTTGGCAGCTTCTCTGTGCAGTTGAGGTGCAGGGGGCCTCTGTAGATCTGCCTGCATGCTGCGAGGCTCCAAAGAGACTGCCTGGCAGTACAGAGCACCCACCATCCAGGGATAAGATGTTTCATGGTCCCATCCCCATCCCCTGGGTCTCTCTAACCTCTCCACCCCGCAGAAGGATCTCGGGGCTCTGCAGTCACACACAGCTACGTTCTCACATAACTTCTCTGGGCCTCAGTCCTTCCATCTGTAAAATGGGAAGCGTAATGGCATGCATGCTGTAGGGTTATACAAACAAGGCATGGGGAGGACCTGGCATGTGGTCATCATCCCTCGGCAAATGGGGCTGGGGGTGCTGCTGCTAATTGAGGATCGGCACTGAGAGAGACCAGGTAGAGATGACCTGCAGACCTGGTTTTGAGACTAGGTAGGCATTCAGGGCCACTGGCGTGTGCAGTGTGGAAGAAAGAGAAACTGGAGTGTTATTAGGGGCTTAGAAGAGCAGGCTAAAGAGCTTGAATGTCAAATCAGTGTGGAAGAGCTTGTTGGACGTTGAAGGAACTGAGAAACAGAGGGAGCAAGAGACAGCCAATGCCACACAGCATGTCAGTGGCAAACCGAAATGAGAATGGGTGTCCTGTTTCCCAACCTCATGCTCGTGTCCTGGTGCTGACAGGCCCTCCCAACAGCTTCCGATCCATGGGTGTGGCCTTGGAGGTGACAGCCCAGGCTGGGAGTGGAGACTGAGTGCCCTTGGCTTTGAGTGGGGGTGACATTTCCGAGTTGTCTTTAATTTATCAGGCACAAGTCCTTTGCAAAACAGGAAGTTGTCTCTTTGGGACTGACATGAAATAGTATTGCTGTCACCTTGAATTAAAGAGTTAGACATGTCTCAAAGGAGTGGCATATTGAAATAGCCGGTGGGGTCAGGCCGGCCGGAGAAGCCTTTGATAGCACAGCTGATAACAGGCCCTGGGCTATAAATACCCAGAATCAGTCGCTGTGTTCACATATCACAGCAGATGGGAAGGAGGCAGGGACCCGATTTGTCTTGCCTTTCAGATGGATTTCCTGTTTTTTAGGGAGTGGAAAAGGGCCCATCTGGTAATCAGATTGTGGGCTGAGATAGCCGTCTCCAGGTCACTGGCCCCCACTTGATGTGTCCCCTCAGCCACGTGGCCCCAGTGTCGCAGTGGCTCTAGTGGCTGCACCTCCACAAATGGGAGCCATCAGGAGGCCTCCTGCTCTGTGGAGCTTCCGGAGGTGGGGCGGGGGGGTGGTGGTCCTGCCTTTCATCTTCCCCCTCTGTTTCCTTTCTGGGCACCTGGCTTTGCTCATAGGCATTTCATTACTTTCTTTTTCTTCAAAGGCTCGTCCCAACTTGTACATGTATGTGCAAATGTCCATAGACACATGCACACGTGTGTGCACAGACATGGGATCCATGGACTTTCTCACTGGCTCTCCTGGATTTCCCTGCTAACTCCCAGCTCAGGTAGAGGTCAGTGACTTCCTTATTTAAAAATCCCCTCAGGAATTTGATTTCCTGGGTTTAGATCCACCTTGCTCTGCTTCTAGTTTGTGACCTTGGGAGCTAATTCAAATGCCAAAATCTTAGTTTCTCCATCTGCATAAAGACACCTCTTCTGGGTTGGTTGAGAGATCTTTGTGCAACCACATAGAACACTGAGCTGGAGAGTTCTGCACCCAGGGAGGCCATGGGGTGTGGTGTGTTCTGATTGTTGTATGATTACTACTCCTGTGTTGTAGTTCTCCATGGCCCAAGGCCAGTCATGGCTCCAAGTCACCTTTTTGTCATGGTGAGGTGTCTCAAAGATGGAGGGGTCGCACTCTCCCTAACCCCTCTAGTGAGGACACTATCCTGTCTCTCTGTCTTTTCTCCTCTCTCAATCCTGTTATTCAAGAGAATGTCCTTCTCTGTGACCCTGGGTTCTTTTCCTTCCTGGGGAGCTTGTGAGGAGATACTTCCGTGATCACATCTCAGATGTGACCCCTCCCCCAGCTTGTGAAATCTCTTGTCCTCTCCCCCCAAATTATATCCAGACAGTGGCAGTAGCAGGCACCTTCCTCTTCCAGCCCAGGGGCCCACCCGCCAGCCAAATGGGGCATTTAATTGGAAAGAGAAGCTGGCTGGCTTCCCAGAAATCCTGAAGAAAGCACTAGAATGGACCTGCTTTTAAAACCTTGCCACATACCTTCCCTGTAGATTTCTGTTTCAAATACTTGAAGGGGTCCTTGGGACCATTTGAGAATTAAAAGCACTACCTAAAGCTATGCAATGACAGATTCCTAAGCCCTAGGGTGTAGAGTGTGTGGTAGTGGAGCTTGACTACTTTGTATACAGTTGAGGAAACTGAGGCAACTTGAAGGTGGAGAAAGAATTCAGTTCAGTTTGTTTCAGGTCTCTAGATGTTGACTGAAGTTTCTCTTTGCAAATACTCACCTGATAGCCTTCCCCCCAGATCCTGAAGACACAACTTTCTTAGGGACTTGTCATCAGAATTTTCCCCACTGCCTTAGTCCTGCTGGGTGATTCCTGAGTGGAGAATGATGAATGAATGGAGGAAAGAAGGGATGGTCTACAGAGAAATTCATCTAGAGGACCCTTGGGTTCATCACAAAGCAGGAGTTGTTTCTCTCCTTTATGAGCTGCATGACCCTAGACAAGTGTCTAAACCCTCATGCCTCATTGGTTTCATATGTGAAATGGGCCACTAATAGCCCTTCAAAGCCTTGGGGGACACGATGAGTTAATCCACACAGAATACCTGACATAGAACCTGGTTGGTGCTCAGTGTGGGTTAACTCATTGGTATTACGATAGTGGTGGTGGTCATGATGGTGATGATAATGGTAATAGTGATAATGATGATGGTGATGATGACAATGTTAGTGATGTTGGTGACGATGGTGATGGTGGTGATGGTTTGATGGTGATAGTGGCGATGGTGATGATGTTGATGGTGATGATGGTAGTGATGACGTTGGTGATGATGTAATGACAGTGATGTTGGTGAAGGAGATGATGATGAAATGGAAACTTATTTTTTTTATTTTTTGTTTTTTTTAGTTTTTTTTTTTTTTTTTTTTGCCATAGGTATATTCACTCACTGGAAAGAGACAGAGAGAGACAATGAGAAGGAAAGTAAGAAATCACCCTCCAGGCAGGATGGCCATGCCGCAATCCCTTCTCCATTTTTCTCCTGGGATTTTAGGCATGCACACACAAATGACTGGCATGATTTTTAAGCCTCTAGATCCAGGACTTGAACCATAGTTAGCCACGTAGAAGTCCAGCTCCTTAACCACCATTCCGCCTGCTGGTCCAAAAATGGGCACTTGTTATACACTAAGACCTGTCCCAGGTTCAGAGATACACAGTGAAAAAGACAAACATGGTCTCTGCTCTCCTGGAAATCAGTCCTGATGAGGGCGATAGCCAGAGAATAAACAAACAGGTAACTGTATATAAAACAGTGCTGCAGAGAGAGGAGCAGAAGTCACGTCATATGTGGGACACCTCGGCAGCACCATTGGAAGAGGTGACATTTGGATGCAGCTGAAAGGGCGGGTGTTAAAGACATCCCTTCCCCACCCCTTTTGGCTACATTCTGATCTTCAAGTGGGACCCAGTATTCGTGTCACTCTTAGGGCCTACTAGATTCGTGATCTTGACTGGCTTGTATCTCTTCTGTGGGACGTGGTGGTTCGGTAAAGTGTATGCGGAGGATCCAGTCAGATGCTCCCTTGGCCCCTCCCGTCTCTGAGATCCCAAGTATCTCTGACCTTGTGCGCACAGCCCAGACAGGTCAGGGAGTAATTGACAATAAACGGTCAGCCTGAGGGGACCTCTCTGGGTCAAGACCCCCGGGTGGGTTGAACAGTTCACTTCACAGTAGGTCTCTGTGGCTTACCTGGGACAGAGCTGGCTCCAGGAGCAATTTCCCCTGGGTGAAACAATCTTTGGAATCTACCGTATATCATTCGCCATGACGTCTTCTGTTTAAACAGCGGCAGCCGGCGGAAGGTGAGCATTGAGCCTTGCATCCCAGCCCCCTGCCCCAGCCCTGTGGAAGGCCCCGTCTGGGGGAAAGCAGGCATATGGAACCCATTTGGGAAATTCTTTCTGCATAAACCACTTTTTCCAGGTAAGACACATGCTCGTATTGACTGTGAAAGATGAAATAGCTCTCGCGCTTTGCCGGCTATGTTTTTATGGATCTTAATTAAACACATGGCCTCCTCGGGCTGGGAAATTGGACACTCTTTGAGCGGCCCCTTCTCAAGAGGTGGTGTCGGCCCAGGGGAGGCCAATTATAACCTGCCGTCCTCCCCACCTCCCAGGACCTCACAGACCCTCCAAGCACTCGGAAAATGTGCACTCGACAGAGAGGCTTTGATTCCACACGCCTGGACAGCGTTAGGCCTGTTTCCAGGCCCGAGGCAAGTGGTGGTCAGAGTCCCAGGCGGCAGGCGGAGGGGCCTTGGAGACCAGGGTTTTCAAACCTCATTGAGCGTCAGAGCTTTCCTTTCATACCCAATCACTTATAGACTCCCGATGTAAACCAGATGAGACTGCTTGGGCCGAAGGGGGATGGACGGGGGTGGGAGTGGGGGGTGCACATGTGGCCCCTTGCTCACTCCCAAACACAGCTCGGCACTAGCTGTGGGGGAAGAGTGGGGACAGTAGTCA